GGCCCCTGACCTGGCTGCCATTGCCCAGAGCCCCAGCTGGGAGAGGAGGATGAGGAAGGAGTGTGGGAAAAAGCAGCGGCGGTGCCAGTGGCAGCATCTGCAGCGGCGGGGAGGCAGTAGGCAGCGGCGGGAAGGTGCGTGTGGTGGAGCTGGACGGGCCACTGCTGCAGTGCTCCTGCAGAATGGAGCGGGCGACGGGGCAGGCCCCGCGGAGAAGGACAAGGCGGCAGCAGGGACTGTTGCCACCCCTCACAGCTGCAGCGGCACCTCAGGCCAAGCCTGTGTTGGGCTCAGCGGTGAAGCTGGAGCAGCCGCTGGCGCTGCAGAGACCTTGGGAGAAGCTGTGACTGGAGGAGCGGGAGGAGGAGAAGGAGGCGAAGTGAGTGAGCAAGAGCATCGACCAGGCGCTCAAGGAACAGAAAAGGGAATACAAGCAGACACACTGCCGCGGTGGTGTGCGGGGCCGACCAGAGTCCCATCTCAGCCTCTCCCTTCCCAGCCCTGCATGGCCTGCCTGCTGGGAAGTGGTGGCTCCTTCACCCACCCGTCCAACAGACAGACCCTTCAGGCCGGTGAAGGCACTGTAACCCCTCCCCTGGCACCAGGGGGGTTAGCTCCGTCAGCTGTGTGTGTGCACTCCTTTCCCACCACGGTACAGGCTTCCCTCCCTCCTTCCAGTCTGCCCTAAATTTGGGGGCACTGGGCGAATCTTTGCACCCCGGCGTTGCATATGCTAAAGACGGCCCTGGTTTTAGCCACAGAGTCCTATTTACATTAGAGCTCCACCAGTGCGAAGTAACAAATGAGAACCAATAAGACCTTTTTTTTGTTTGTTTCATCATAATTGTTTTTCTATTTTTCATTTACACGGAAACTGTGGAACACAATTTGCTTCTGATGAGCCTCTCCCCATGGACCCTGAAACATCCTCTCATGGCAAAAGGGGCCGTACCACCTGACATTTCATGTGGGGAAATAGTTTCTGGCATGCTATTTTGTTGCTGTGGGGGCTAATTCCTTCATACCACTGCACTGTGCATATTTGAATGAAACCGTGAGTCCATGGTGCTCATGTATACTTTAGCAGTTTGTGCCTTTTTCATGAGACCAGCAAGAAACAGAAAGTTCCCTTTAGCTCAGGTTCACTTGTTATTCTTGGTTTGCTGATAGAAATAGAAACAATAACAACTCTGGCTTAATTTTCAAGGTGCTTGAGGTAAGCCATGTATCTCAATAAAATGGATCTGAATGCACTAGGCTGGGCATGAATTATTACTGTGAGTATAATTGCTGCTGCCTTCGCCTACACAGCCGGATTCCATACCACTAAGTAATTACTGTAAAGTGCTGTGGGGTACCTGAAGTATGAAAAGGGCTGCTCTGTTCCAACTATTGGTTTCTTGCAAGCCTGCACAGGACCGCAGCAAAATCAGGAAAGAAGGAGGTGATGGTGTAAAAATTGTGCTGCCTGCTTATTTTGCAGTGGCCGGTCACCCTCTTCTCATGCCATTCTGCTTTCCTTCCAAAAGTGCAGCAGGTGGATTTGGCCTTCTGTGACAATTAGGGGCTGATTTGATTTTGATTAATCAGCCATTCGAGTAGCACCTGTTGAAAATTATATGTAATTAAATTGTTATAGATGATTACAGAGTTGTTTTCCAAAACAGAAGTTTAATTTCACTTTGGGGAATGGCAGCGATGAAGAAGTCCGATTGACGAGTTAACGTTAAGGCCAAAAATCTATAAAACCGGCTAATGAGTTTCTATGCCTGAGTTGTGGCTTGATGCCCCATGAGGCTCCTATTTCAAAGATGATGAGATCCCAACCAGTCTGTTTGAAATCTGGGGGCAATTGGGAAGTCTGAAAATAAACTTCCAGGTGGAGCTGGTGTAGCATTGCGGCTAAGACTCCAGAGGCCTTGTTTTGAATCTCACTTCTGCTGCAATGAATGGTCAAAGGAATAGAAAAGTTGTACTCGGCCTCACAATATGGGGATAATCATTATGACCTTTAAAAAAATGTCCTTGTAAGGGTTCGAGCTGTTTAAAGTGCTGTATAATTCAAATGCTAATTGTTGTTGTTTATTACTGCTGGAGTCTCTTCTAGCATCCTCTGGAAAATATTGACTCCCATGCTTTAGTTCTTGCCTTTAAGTAGATCTTAAAAATCATCCTAGGTTTTCATTTTATCTGAGTGCTGTGACTTATGGAGCCAACACGCAGTGTTTCTCAACCTTGGGTCCCCAGATGTTGTTGGACTACAACTCCCATCATCCCTGAGCTCTGGCCTTGCTAGCTAGGAATGATGGGAGTTGTAGCTCAACAACATCTGGGGACCCGAGGTTGAGAAAGGCTGCGAGGAAGGGATCAGCAGATTCAGAGCAATCCCAAAACTTAAAGAAGGGGGGGATTCAAAGTGGGGGTCCCTCAAACCAGACACTGAGCGTGCTCAGTGCTGGCAGAATGTTAACTGCTGAGAAGCGGAAAGTGTATGTATACACACACACATGTATAAAATATAGCCAACCCCCTCAGCCAAATGCACAGTTAACATGAGCACACCAGGGTTACACTGCAACATTTTCTTACAGCACTTCCCTGGTCATGGTTTAATTGTTCTTTGACTTTAATGGCCCTCCTCATTTCCTCATGGGTGGCAGAGTCATTGACATTTCCTGTGTAGTTATCTTGTACATCTGAAGCATTCCAGGCAGGGATGATGAAGAAGAGAAGAGTTTGGATTTGATATCCCGCTTTATCACTACCCTAAGGAGTCTCAAAGCGGCTAGCATTCTCCTTTCCCTTCCTCCCCCACTACAAAGACTCTGTGAGGTGAGTGGGGCTGAGAGACTTCAGAGAAGTGTGACTAGCCCAAGGTCACCCAGCAGCTGCATGTGGAGGAGCGGAGACGCAAACCTGGTTCACCAGATTACGAGACTACCGCTCTTAACCACTACACCACACTGGCTCACACATACATCTACATTTTCTTATAATAGCCCTTGGCACACCAGCTACAGGCCTCTTAAGGAGCCGTGGTAGTGAGGGCTTTGATTAGTGCCAGCCACTGGGCGTTAGAACTTGCAAAGTGGAGTTAAAGGAGGCTTCTAGATGAAGAGCTGGAGTTAATAATAAACCTTTATTGTCACTACACCACTTGTGTGCAGTGAAATTAAACTAGCCCCCCCACACACACACATACACTCAGTCTTGTTTGCGCTCTGTGTGCTTGTCAGAAGTCAATTGCACCACTATTTTTTCCCATTCAGCAGCCCAACAGCCCACGGATAAAAAATGTTCTTTAACCTGTTGGTGCGGCTGACTATACTTCTGTATCTCCTGCCCGAAGGTAGGAGATTAAAGAGGTGCTGGCCAGGGTGTGAATCGTCCCTAAGAATTTTCCTCGCTCTCCTGAGGCAGCGGTTTCCCGCAATGTCATCTAGCGAACACCGAGGACTGCCCATGATGTCATGTGCTGTATTCACCACCCTCTGTAGGGACTTCCTGTCCATGGCTATCAAACCAGTGTACCACACTGTTATACATTATGAAAGGACACTTTCTGTTGTGGACCAGTAGAAGGAGATCATCAATTTTTGTTTGACATTGTTCTTTTGCAAGACCCTGAGAAAATGGAGTCTCTGTTGGGCCTTCCTAACCACCTGGGTTGTATTGATTTTCTAAGCGAGCTCTTCACTAAGGTAAACTCCCAGGAATTTAAAGGAAGAGACTCTCTCCACACAGCCCCTCCCCCCGATATACAACGGGGCTAGTTCCCCTCTCTTCCTCCGAAAGTCCAACACCATCTCCTTTGTCTTGCCAATATTTAGGTGCAAGTTGTTCTCTAGGCACCATGTAGAGACTTTTTGAACCTCCTTTCTATACACTGATTCATCTCCACCTGTAATTAGACCCATTAAGGTGGTATCATCTGCAAACTTAATAATTAATAAACTTAATAAAGTACAGGTAGGGACTCAGCACGCATCCCTGTGGGGTGCCAGTTCTGAGCTTCAGAGAGGTAGATGTAACAGGCCCAATCCTCATTATTTGTGTGCAATCCCTCAGAAAGTCTTTAATCCAATCACAGATGGTAGAGGAAAGGTCCAGGTCCATCAGTTGCCTCAGGCCTTGCCTAAGCTAGGATAAAGGATGCAGGGAGAGGAGCATCAGGTAGGTCTGACTGAGCATGGAGCCTAAAGAGAGAGAAACTAGCACTGGGATGGGGTGGGACTGGCCGTGGATGAAGCCTCATTGCTGATGAGTGGCCAGTATGTGGGGCAATTAGTTTGAAGCAGTGCAAGCACCAAAGAACTGGAGGTTGCGTGAAAGCAATGTACTACAGACACGATGGGAGACAGCAGGGAAGGCAGGCCACCTATGACTGCAATACAGGAGATCCAGCAGTGACCAAGGACCTGTCTTCTTGGATTGGACAAGTGAATGGGAATGGTGATCATTCTCACAATACTGGCATGTACTATAGACCAGGGGTTCCCAAATCATGGTCCATGGATCACAAACCTCATTGAAGGGGCCCCTGGCATGCTTGTGAAGAACACTTACAATCTGAATTTTTGTGGGATTCTACGGAACTCAAATGTAATACAATAAAATACAGTATAAGAAATAAAAGAAATAATGAAGTGCAATTAAAAATCAAAGCATCTAGCACAAGGCATGGCAGTAGCTACAATAGGCAGAAAAATCATGCAGCGGTTTGCCAAAGCCTTGGGAATCTTCAAGTGGCCCATGGCGGGGGTGGGGTGAGGGGAAGCTATTACTATTGGGGAATGTTGTTGTTTTGAATTGTTTTTAATATTGTTTGTAATGTCGTAACCCACTCTGGGACCTTGTATAAATTAACAACAACACTGATGGTTGATGCTAAAACATTAACATCATTAGACATTTAAAAAGTCCCCACTGCTTTGAGAACACAAATTGAGGTTTTTAGGCTTCTCATAAACTGGTCCAAAAAACAACAACACACCCCAAAAGAAGATCCAATAGTGTATTAGCATTTTGTCACTCACTTTCATACCAACAGTGCAAATACAATTTGGTCAAAATGTACAGATTGACAAGCAACAAACTTGTGAATTGAGATTGGTAAAAACAGGGAGGCCAACAGTAGCCAGAGCCCATGACAGACGGAAGCAATTCTAGGTTTGTCCCCATGCTGATCCTCATTTAGTTCTGTAAAGGCAGTGCTGAGACCCAGGAGGAGGTGGCTGACAGCCAGTGGCACCCCTGGGCAGATTGCAGGTAAGAAGACAGACATGTGGGCATTCACTGAGGGCAGACTGAGGTTGGTGGGGCAGCGCAGCGCCCCATTCGCCCAAATAGGCCAGCTTCCATTACCATAGAAACAACAGGCCACCTTATCCTGATGAGCTGCAGTCTGGTGGGGAGGAAAAAATACAATTCAGAACCTTGAGTGGAAAATGTGGTTTGAAAGTCTGGCTATTAATTGCCTTTTATCTCTAGGTGCATATAAACAACACAGTCATTGATTTGTGCAATCGTTGGCACACATCATGCAGGAAGCAAGTACCAAGGGCTGTCAACCATTGAATATCTATTATGATCCAAGTTTAATGAGTTGCATAGTGAACATAATCCACAGTTCAGACAAAAGAGGTTGCAATTTAAATAGCTATGTTGATATGTGACTAAATGTAGAACTTGGGGGAACTATGGAAGTTGGAATCTAAAGTTACGAAAAGCAGGAATAATACATTTCACTAATCTTGCCATCGGAAGCCTTTTCCCTTTTCTAGTGTGACAGCAAGCTGGACTAGATATGGAGGAACTGCCAGGAGAAATAATGTATATACTGACAACCCCTTTTGAAATTACAGATTTGTGTTTGAGGGGGGCACAAAGATGGTAAGAGAGACCTGAAGCTTGGAGTCAGGGGGCTCCTTATTTTTTGCAGAAGTGGAAAAAAAACCAGAGAATAAAAGTCATTCAGAATTACATACCTGATTTTGTGCTGAGGAAATATTTACTTGGCAAGGATTTTGTCTTAAGCCATTCACTCTCTGAGGACTTATCCTTGTTTCTCAATGGGTGTTGCTATTAATGCACACGTTTGCACCTGCTATTGGTGTTGGGTGCAAAGGGATGAGTGTGCTTAACTTCTTGAGGATGGAGCATGTTTCAGATCTCCAACTAACTGATCCAGGCAAAATTTGTGTGAAATTTTGCTGTTGCTGAACATTAAGGTATTTGTGCCTTTGGGAGCCCTAGTACTGGCAAGGCAGGGATCCTGAAGTGTGACGTGCAGGAGCAGCCTGTCTTCCAGAAACATTTAAATGGCCTCTTGAACAGCTTTCCCATTGGCGTCTCATGTCCTCTGCAGGGGGATGGTTGTCCGTCTGTTTGCTTGACATCTTTTGCATCACAAGAAGCAGCTGTCTCTCATGAACTGCTTGCTCGTTTGGCATCCCCCGCCCCCTGGCTTGCTCTGCAGAAGATCTCTGTCAGTGAAAGTGTGTCTGCACCAGCTACTTGCTCCAAGATATATCCTGGAACTTCATCTTGCATAGTGTCTCAGGGAATCGGTCCCTCATAATAATATTGTGGTTATTTAACATTTTAAGAGTATTCAAAGCACTATCCTTACATTAGTTCAGCTTTTCTTACAACACCCCTGTGAAGTAGGCAGTGATGACGGGGGGGGGGAGGGATTTTTCCTAGTGCTTAATTCTTTCATGGAGAATTGTCCGTTTCACGAGTTCATTAGTAACAAAGAATGGATGCAAACTGCAAATTACAGTAGGCAAGCATGGCTGTTCCCGAGTTTTTAGCTTTGTTTAAGGTATTTTATTTTACTTCTTTATTTTTGTACCTCTTTTGTACTTACTCTTTTCTAGAACAAGGTTGGGGAACTTCTGGTCCGTGGGCTGCATGGGGCCCTCCAGGCCTCTGTGTCTGGCCCTCAGGAATCTCCCTAGTCCAGGCCACCTTCCATCTCTCATCACCCCACTCTGTGCCCTCCTCAAATACTTTTGTCTGGCTGCAACGTAACCTTGAACATTGATAATGCCCATTGCTTGCCTCAGTGGAGGATGGGGACAGGCATGTTTGTGTGTAAACTTCTGCCTTTTGCAAGGCTAGACGTTATCCTTCTATACAAAGGTAAGAGTCACCTCATTTGCTTGGCCTATCCTTGCTTTGGCCTTGCTCACACCTGGGATGCAGCCCCTGGAAGTTTGGCCACAAAGGAATGTGGGCTTTAGGTGGCAAAATGGCTCCTCTGCTCTGCTCTGCTCTAGAGTGCTATATTCTTTCTGATTGCCTTATGCAAATTTCCCTATTCTGCAATAATTTTTTTCTGGAAACCCCACAAAAGGTGGTTCAGTATCGTTTATCTCCACCTTGTGGTGTGGTGTGGTGTGGGGGGAGCAGAAGCCAAAAGAATAAAGACTTGTCTGAGTAATTCCTCTGACGGTCTTTCCATGTGGAACTATGTGCACACAGATCGTACCAGGAGTGACTTGCCCCAGAAAGTGGAGACATCTGTGATAAGAAATAGACACTAGGCTTGTGGACAAGTGAGAGAGAGAGAAATCTGTCTTTGGGATGTCGTAGAGGTCGATTATATTTCAGAAATCAGGAGCTGGTGATGCTAGAGGGAAGTGGGATTCTTCCTGTGAGAGAGGATCATTTCAAAGAACAAAATAAGAGAGAAGATTCCAACTGTGGGATGGGTTTTAATGGGTAGGAAAGGATATATTAATTGCAATTTATCCATCCAGCCGCCCACATATGTGGGTTGAGAACAGCTTTTCAAATCCCATCCTTGGCAGCAAAATTAAAAGCATAGGAATTATGTGGTAAAACCTTGTTTTGAGCAAGTCCAGCTATGAAAAGTTGGTTCCCCTTTCTTACCCAGCTTATAAAGATTCAGGAAACAACCTGGGAAGTAAATTTAAAAATAAAAATAAAATTTACTTTCTTTATTTTTTATGCATTGCATCACAGCAACAGTAGCAATAAAAAATTGTGCAAGCAAAATACTTGTACTTACTTCAGGCATGTGCCTAAGGCTGGAACAAGCAGAGGTATATCTGCATCCAATGCTTCAAAGGAAGAGGGAGGGGTGAGAGGAACAGGAAGTACTATATACTCCTTCCGCTCTAGATGAGAAAGGGTAATGACATCACACAGAGTCCTCTCTACTGATTGTGTTTCTATGGTCTTAGTATCTGCCTATCAGCAGTACACCTTTGTGGACTTAGCCCTTTCTCGTGCTAACTAGCAAGAATATTCATTTGTTAGGTTTGGCTGCTAATCGCCCACACTAACTGCCTTTGTTTTACTCCCATAGTTGCTAATGGGAATTCAGATCTATAGGGAATAATATTGATAGGAGACAGGTGATTGAAATGTGACTAAGGGCCCCTCCAGAATGATTGTTTTTCGTGTGTAGGTATATTCCACAGCGTGTCATTCATGTAACAATAGTGCAAAAATGCTGGATTTATCCACACGTTATTCTGCTTTATTAGGTTTTCTGCCATGCTTCCCCAGTGTTTGCTGCCTGGAGGGGCACTCTGGTGCTATAACACATCAAAAGTGGGGCAAGCAGCCAGACAACACTCAGAATGTGGAAGGAAAAATTGCAGGATTTTAGCAGGGAGCGATGGGACAGGCAGATACCGCAGAGGAAGCAGTGTGAGCAACCCAAAATGTTTGCAGACGCAAATGGTATTGAAAGTGCAATCACGTATAACCATCACAAATAGCCTGAGCACAAATCATGATGGATGCTCAGTAAAGAGGGCATGTGGAGGGGTCCATAACAAAGAACCATTTGAATTAAGAAACAGAGTTCAGGGATTTGAAATATAGTTCAGCAATTGATATTTGTATCTGGTTGCAATGACTTCCGTTAGCAGAGAGGGCACATGCTCAACATAGATAACTACAGATAGGCATCCTTTTCCAGAGATCTGCAGAATGAGCAGTGCTCCTAAATCCTTCTTCCCTCCCCCACCACAACTTCCCCTTTCAAGCAAAAGATAAGAGGGGTAGGGATTTGCTGTCACAAGGCCAGATGTGCAGTCACAAATTTCTGGATTGGAAAAGCACTCAATCTGTTTCATATGGAAGATTCACAGGACCTTTTCAAAAATCAGGTTTTAAAGTATACATCTAAAATTATTTTGAATAGACACCCCAACAAACAGGTTTTTGAAAAAGCACATTTGGTAAGAAAATGTGCTCATTCGAGTTAGGATTTAATTTGTGGGCTCAGCCGCAAGGTGCACGCAGCCAGCGGGGACCCAGGAAGGAATGGTGAATGAACACAGAACAAAGTATTGGGTTTGAATAGGCTACAACCTTATTGATTAGTAAGTAGGTTTTGACATAGGCATTGGCTATGTATCCTGAATCAGTCAGCCTGACTGCTGATTGTTTGGCTGGGTGGACCATGGGTGGACCCTATGACGTACATCAAATCAGGGTTATCCTGCCAGAGTCACCACTCAGGCGGGGTGCCAAGGCCCATCAGCCCCCATTTGGGCATCAGGATGAGCACCCCCTCCAGGACCCCTTTGTCAGCTTTTATCGTGACTCTCTTTTGTTGACAATGTGATCATGCCCCATGGGCGGCCGCAATTGGCCCATTCAAACAGGCAGGCTCCTGCGAACCCATGGGGCCACAGGAGTGGGGGCCCTTGTTCCCCTTCAACGGCCACATAGGGTGGTGGGAAGATGGTGCCCGGCTCTGCCTTATTACACCAGGGCACAAACCACTGCTCCTGGGGGACTCATGGAAGTGGCAATTGTTGCTGTGGACGCGGGTGGCGCTGTGGGTAAAACCTCGGCGCCTAGGACTTGCCGATCGCATGGTCGGCGGTTCGAATCCCCGCGGCGGGGTGCGCTCCCGTCGTTCGGTCCCAGCGCCTGCCAACCTAGCAGTTCGAAAGCACCCCCGGGTGCAAGTAGATAAATAGGGACCGCTTACCAGCGGGAAGGTAAACAGCGTTCCGTGTGCTGCGCTGGCTCGCCAGATGCAGCTTGCCACGCTGGCCACGTGACCCGGAAGTGTCTGCGGACAGCGCTGGCTCCCGGCCTATAGAGTGAGATGAGCGCACAACCCTAGAGTCTGGCAAGACTGGCCCGTACGGGCAGGGGTACCTTTACCTTTACCTTTTTAATCTGCTGAAACAGCTCTCAGAAAAATGCATCCTTTTGCAGGTGAGAAAGGGATCATTGGCGGATCAGAACTATTAAAGAGGGCTTATTTTATTTAGAATATCAAAGGCAAACCCTTATATTTTTAATTGATGTTCTTGTTATTCATTTTAGTGTACTGAACCGCACTCCTGTCAACCTAATTCAGGAAATAATTTTAGTGGATGACTTCAGCTCCGATCGTAAGTATTACTTTTCTTTGTTTCTCTAATTATCTTATTTCCTTTTTATTATGTGGCTGTATACATTTTTTCTGCTCCACTCAGGATATTTCCTCACTTTTTCATCTGAGGAAAAGAGCGAGAACAAAGGCAGGAGCAAAGCTTTGTTGCGCTTTGTTTTAATTTCCACCTGAGGAAAAGAAACTAGCCAATTTTTTCTTGTTATGGTGTCTTTCCGTCGATTCTCAGTGTGACAGTCCTGCCCAGGAAGCCAGAATGCTCAGTTTGGTTTCATTAACCACCATTTTGTGGGTCATTATAGTAAGTATAACAAGTGGTGTGCACAGCTAGGAACCCCAATTATATAGGTTCAAAGGGGAGGAGATAATGTATGCTGCACTGTGTTTTTGGCAGACTAAGACTGTTATCCACAAAATTCTTGCTGAGGTTTTCATACAGCAGAACTATCCCAGAACAATAAGTGCCTGGAATTCTGCTGCAAGAGGCACTATCCTTTCTTGAGAAAAATAGCACAAGAGAATAATGTTTGTTCCAGCTTTGAAGCTGGACTTTTAAGTGACTTTCTCCAGTAATAAAAACAAGTGGCTAGGAAATTTCAATTCTTCAATTTTTGTAAAACCAAAGTGAGGGCCAAATGTGTCATTAACAATCATGGCTTGTATCCAATGCAGCACTAAGTAACCATCCCGCTAATGCAACAATGTCCATGTGCACAATGGGACTTTCCTTCCCCTGTGCAGCCCCTAAGTCTGTTCTGAGGTTTTCTGTAACCCTCTGGAACAAATTTTGGGAGTGCATGGGGAAAGAGAGCAGGTCCTCTTGTGGAACAGCAAGTCCTGTTGCGGAAGCAGAAACCTTGCGGTGACAGGATGCTTACTTAAAACTGCATTGGATACAAGCCCATGTCTGTATTTAAAAGAGAGAGAAAACAAATCATTAACAGCAGAAAGGGGGGGGTTCATTGGGGCCATGGCACACAGGAAAGGGGGGTTTAATTCCACCCCACCCCCCAATCATGATGAAAATCTTCCTCCCTCCCTCCTCAGTTGTTCTTAGCCCTGCAAGGAAAGCTCCTATTAGCACCAATGGAAGAATTCCTGCTTCTAATTTCAGCTGGAAGGATTTCCATTGGGAATGCAGCAGGCAAAGGGGAAGATGGGGCTCGTCAACCAGGGGAAGGTAGCCCATCTGGGAGAAGGAAAACTGATACTAAACCTCTGCTGCCTTGTGGCTATACTCATTTGTGAGAAAGACTTCAGGAGTAAACCCTGAGGAATAATCTGTACCTGCTGCCTTGTGGAAGAAGGAAAGGCTAAGGAGTGCATCCTGCACAAATCCAGAGTGCAGTTCCTAAGAAGGTTGGATGGCGCCTTGAATGCCTCCTTCTGGCGACTCCTGCAGCCAAGCTGGTGCCAAATGTATTGCTCTGCTTTCCTTTGGACCACATCAGCAAGGCTGAGAGCGGGGTCTTGTAGTCTGGGCAGCCCAGGACCTCCATACACACTGCCCAGGCTTACAAAACATACACTGCCCAGGCAGAGAAAACAACATGGGAAGCAGCAGTTAGAAGTTATGGTCTCTGCAGCCACAGCAGGCGTTGTGATTCTCCAGAGGTTTGACTTCGCAGGGAAGCCAAAGAGGTCATTTAACTTCCCTCGCTTTCCTCGATGTGTCAGAAGATGCCATGTTACACCATGTCAGATACCTTGACCCTGAAATTCACTTGTGCACGTGCTGCATTTTGATAGTCTTGGAATACATTTCATTGTTTTCATGTACAATACAATTATAAAGCACCGTACCTAAACAGATACAGAATTACTCTCCAAATCTCCACTTTCTCTAAGCATTATCTTTATTTACATTTCATGAGCAGTATTTCCAAACCACCTTTCAACATATGCTCTCTGGGGATTGCTATCAGACCTATGAAGGGAGCATCTCAAATGAAGCCCCTCAAATGGATGTTGCTAATATAACCGGAATGGGATTCTGCTGTGTTCTTGGAGTGTGAATTACCTAAAATGGATTCATGGGCTATTTTTGTACATGGATTTCCTTGCTGAGCACATGTCCAGCAATATCTCAGTATCCTTTAATCAAGTGTTCCTGTCACTGCATCTCAGCAATACAGCTCCTGACAAACTGCCCTCACCAGAGCAATATTTCAGGTGGCAAGAAGCTATAGAAATGGAGAAGCTCCAGGATAGAAGTGCCAAGAAAAGTATTTTGGCTGGTAGCCTTTGTGTGTCTTGCCAGGATACTGAAGCTGTGGGAAGATGATAAGCGAGGGGCTTCTCAAAGCCTGGAGAATAGCACACAATAAAAACACTGCTGTTGCTGGATAGTAAGAGAGTATCAAAGTGGTGAACAGAGAGAGAAGTTTTGTCTCTGGGGTGTGTTGCTCCAGAGACCTCTGAAATTATTTTTCAGTGGTCAGCCGTTGAAATATATGTATCATCTACAGTATTGTTGTATTAAATACTCCAGAATGAGCTGGACCAATGGGAGAGAACGTAAGTACTCTGCTGGGTCAGACTAAAGGTTCATTTAGTCCAGCACCTTTTCTCAGACCAGTCAATAGGATCCCTGTGGGAAGTCTAGAAGCAGGACCTGGGTGCAACAGCACTCTCCCCACTTGTGATTCCCAACAACTGGTTTACAGGCACATACTGCACCCAGCACTACACAGACATAGTGGCTAGTAGTCATTGGTAGCCTTATCCTCTTTGAATTTGTCTAATCCCCATTACAGCCATCCAAGAATAGCTATCCTATCCAACAGTGTGCTTCATTTTGTGTGGGATGTAGACTGGCAGCTCTGCATTAGAGCCATATGATATGTCCTGCTGTGTTTATCTTGACAGATAAAAGAGTTGAGTCTGAATGTCTTGCTCCTCTTTCAACTCTTTTCTCATTTCACTGCATTCACTCCCTTTCTTTTTCTTAGCATCCAGCCTGTGCCTCTGCCATAAATCTCTTTCATGTTTCTCCTAAAAGTCAACAGGCAGAGCTACATGCTACAGAGCAAACACAAGGACCCTGACTCTTTGCCTTGTAATGGTGATGCAGGGATCAGAGTGGCATTTGCCTGGGAAAGTCAGGGTGTGAATAGGGGAGCTGAACTTTTCCTCCACCTGCTGATTCTGCGCACAACCTCCCCCTTCCCCCATTTTCTCCACAGCCAGGCATATTTCCAGCCCTGGAGTCGGCTGAGCTAAAAAGGAAATGTGTGTTTGGAGTCTTGGGGATAAATCAGTCCGCCATTTCTTCCATGCTGTTTCTCCTCCCTGCTTTACCATTAACCTCCAAATATGAGTTTGCGAAACACGTGTTTTCTGATGTTCCATGTTGTTATATCCTGAGGCAGGTTCCCTCCTGCCTGCAGTTGGGTTTGAAAGCAGCTCTCTCTTGTAGCTAATAGAATAGGTTGCAGTCCATGCTTGGCTGTGGGGTGTGTGGGGTGCCCACAACAGTTTCTCTGTTTTGCAAATGTTCCAGGGCCTCCAAAAAGCTGATAACCCCTGCCTTAAGGCATACGCTGTCTGTGGTACCAGCTGTTCACAAACTTCACAGCATAAAACCAGGTCTCCATAGTTCCTTCTTCCCTTGTAAAGTGCCCTCTGGAAAGGACGATTTGCTTCAGAGAAGACACAGTGACAATGGAAGTTCTTAACTTTTCCCTTGCCAGTTGTTTTCCCTCTGACTATTCTCATCTTCCCCTCGCTGGGAGGGAAATTTGAGTGGAAATAGGCTGGCAGAGGAAAGGTTAAGCACTCCCTTCTCTCCTACTCTAAAGCTCTCCCTTTTCTGTAGGAGCTTGGAGAAGGATCTGCTGGGCTTTGCAGCCCATGGCTGCAGTGGAGTGTGTAGTGTGCCTCCACAGATCTTACAAATGCTGACTAAAACCTTTGAGGCAGAGGAGGAGGAGCTGAGTGGTAAGCAGACGTCTTTGGGCGATAACTTGAGGCGATGGGATTAAAGCCATTTATTTTGGGATCAACAAATTGATTAATATCGTAAATGAAAGCAAAGCTTTGCCCTCTGTTGAGACACATGGGGAGAGTTAATTGCAGCTTTATGTCGATGCCAAACAAACTAGGCACTGGTGCCAACTGTTTTCTCTTCTCTTCAGCTGAGGATTGCCAGCTCCTTACCAAGATACCAAAGGTCAAGTGTCTTCGCAACAGTCGGCGAGAAGGTGAGTATGACAGATTTTGCAAGAATCGTTCACTTTTAGAAGGACCCAGTGGTAGCACAAATTAATACTTGTGGGTTTGGGGGACATACAGCGGCCTCCTCCTCTGAACCAACCAAGTCCCTTTTCTAGATCTAGTTTCATCACCATCTGATGAAGAGCCATCGCCAGCAAGAAGTTCTGTCTTGTCTGAGTTGAGTTTCAATATATTCACTCGCACTTCAGCCCATTACAAACCTCAGGCAGTGATTCAATTGCAAAAAAAGCACCACAATTTATTCAGGTGGAAAAGATAAATAGAGCTAGGCACCATCAGTTTACTGATAAAAATCCGCTCCAAAACTCAGCACGACTTCTCCCAGTGGTTGCACTGTGAGGAAGTATGATGGAAAGGATAGAAGTCTGTTGTATTCCACAGGGAAGCACATGGGGGAGGAACAGCAATCAGCTGGAATTTTCCAGCAATTAGGAGCAGAACTACTATAAAGCAGAGCTTCCTATTCCTATCCCATATTCTTGATCCAGAAAGATGCTGTGATATAAAAAAAGATACAGTAAGTTCAAAAGAATCAGCAGAGTTACACTCCCTGGTAATTTCCCTTGCACAGATAATAAACTAAGAGAGTCTCAGTCCTGAGTTCTAGTTAGGAATCAGGTGGAAATGGGTCTAGATATGGGAAGCACTGCATGCAACTGTAGATTTGGCCACAATACAGTTCAGCTAACTTGGCTAGAAAATAAACTGGATATTGCTCCCCAATTCATCCAAGGAGGGCTTCTTTTAACAATGGTCTTGCTGCAGCAGGGATGGGGAACTGGTGGCCCTCCAGATGTTTTTGAACCACAGCACCCATCCTTCATGACCATTGGCTGGGGCTGATGGGACTTGTAGTCCAACAACATCTGGAGAGCTACAGGTTTACCACCACAGGGCTAGATGGTACAAAGACCCCCTTCGATTAAGGATAGATTTATCTTCCGCAAGATGGCCATCACTTTCTCCCAGCTTATTAATTCTAGGAATTAGGGACAGAGGTCAGACTGAGATAAAGTGGTATGTGCAGATCTACGTATTCTGTCTACATCTTTGGATTTTAAAAGTGAAACTAATCCAATAAAACCTGACCAGAGGACGATGCATCTGCTATAGACTCTGTCTGCAGTGGAGTCAAGGTCAGAGTGGAAGGGAGCGATTGTGTCCACAAAGAACACTGCAGGAATGTTGCAGCAGGCCTGAGAATTTGTAACAATCCAAGGAAGGAGAGTTAGGTTTTTTATTGTATTTTTAATATTTTGTTGGAAGCCGCCCAGAGATGGGTGGGGTATTAATAATAATAATAATAATAATAATAATAATAATAATAATAATTGGTTATTAAAGCTCAGAAAAGTTCCACTGGATAAGGTTGCACAGACACAATGGTGGTCAAGAAGGAAAGAGCACCATGGAACAGGTCTTCAAGTGGCCTCTAAGCTGTGTTCAGATAGATTTGTTGCAGGCTTTCCTCTATTTGCACTCAAGCTGTTGTCCCTGTTGCCTCATTGTACAGAATACTCTACTGAGCCATGTTGAGGCCTGTGCCTTGGCAGGCAAGAAAAGTGTGCCTGAGAAATCTTGTGTCAGCCGCCTGTCAACTTCCTGTCCCAAGATTGCAGTAAAAGTAATTAGCCAAATCAGCCTTAAAAAAAATCTCCCAAGGTTATCTGGAGGCCATTTGAATCCATAAGGCCATCCTAATGCCCCAGATGCATTCACCCTAACAACGGAAAACAAAAATGCCATGCAAATTTGTGGTGAAACATCCGAAGAGGGTTTTTTGAGGGAAGCTAAAAGGGTTTTAACAAGACAGGTGAAATTTCTCAGGGGTGTTTTGCACATCTCTAAAAAGGAGTCACCACAGCTGCCCTTTCAAATTCAGCTCCGTGCTTCCCATGGTGAGAGGAAAACAGGGGGAAGCAGGAGGGGGAAGTGTGAGAATTATGGCACTCAAAGCATCCCTGTGCAGGGCCTGGTTGCCCCTGAATGAACCTAACTGTGAGCAAAGGGATAGGTGCACTGCATGGTAAAGTAAGCCAAGAGCAGAGCAAAAAGAACTGCAATGCAGACGCTTATAATTGCATGTCTCAGCCATGTCAGGACGATGACGCTTTAGGAAAACCAGACACCTGTAATTTCCCTCACCTGTCCTCAAGTCTTTGGGTGCCATACCAAGCTTACTTTTTCTCCTAGATAAAGAGAATGTTCAAGGGGATCAAACTGCCAACTTGCAAGTCTACTTAAAATGCTGTGGTCGGGAGAGGTCCAAAAAAAAGGCACCCAATGCGCCATCTGGTCTGGTTTAGGGGGGGCCAGTTCCAGCTTTTGCAGTCGATGATATGGACAAAGTACTTGTGGCTGTTTGGCCAACCATCTGCCCTTTTGACCTTTACCCAATTTAGCTGATTCAACCTAGCGAAGGGAGACTGGCCAGGTGGGCCCAGGGGACGGTTGATGCTTTGTAGCATGAAGGAGTGCTGCCTGCAGCCCTTTAGGTGGGGTGTCCACTCCTTACAAAGGGGGGGAAGGCTGCCCTGGACCCAGAGGTCACTGACAACTACCACTCCAGTGTTAATACTCTCTTCTTGGGCAAGGTGCTCAGAAGGGAAGTGTCAATTCAGCTGCAGGCGCTGCTAGATGATATTGATTATATAGATGCTTACCAGTCTGGGTTCAGGCCAGTGTTGGGGGCCGTATTGACTTAAATACTTCCATCCTTTTTCTTTTCCACTGTCCCTTTTTATGCTACCAGCTCTCTTCTCTACACTTTTCCAGGATTGATCCGTTCTCGTGTGCGAGGTGCTGATACGGCGGCAGCCGAGATCCTTACTTTTCTGGACAGCCATTGTGAAGTCAACAGCGAATGGCTGCAGCCGATGCTTCAGAGAGTGAAAGAGGTAAGTGTGGGCAGCCTGGCCTCCTGCCCTTGCTTCACGCCACCCTCTTTGCTATTGGCTGGCTACCAGCTCCTGACGCCTGTGACAGTGGGCCTGACTATAGTCACTGCAAATAGGAAAGAGAGCATAAGAAGAGCCTGCTGGATCAGGCCCATCTAGTCTAGCATCCAGTGGCCAACCAGATGCCTGTGGGAAACTTGCAAGCAGGATTTGAGCACAAGAGCCCTCTCCCCTGCTGTGGCTCCTGGCAACTGGTATTCAGAAGCATTGCTCCCTCCAACAGTGCAAGCAGAGTCACGGCTAGTAGCCATCAATAGCCCCCTCCTCCATGAATTTGTTTAATCCTCCTTGAAAGCCATCCAAGTTGGTGGCTATCACTGCCTCCCATGCGAGAGAGTTCCATTAATAATAATAATAATATTAATAATAATAATAATTTATTATTTATACCCCGCCCATCTAGCTGGGTTTCTCCAGCCGCTCTGGGCAGCTTCCAATGGAATCTTAAAATACAATAACCTATTAAACATTAAAGAGCTCCCGTTGTTCGGTCCCAGCTCCTGCCCACCTAGCAGTTCGAAAGCACGTCAAAGTGCAAGTAGATAAATAGGTACCCCTCCGGCGGGAAGGTAAACGGCGTTTCCGTGTGCTGCTCTTGTTCGCCAGAAGCAGCTTTGTCATGCTGGCCACATGACCCGGAAGCTGTCTGCAGACAAACGCCGGCTCCCTCGGCCTATAGAGCAAGATGAGTGCCGCAACCCCAGAGTCGGCCACGACTGGACCTAATGGTCAGGGGTCCCTTTACCTTTACCTTTATTAAACATTAAAAGCTTCCCTAAACAGGCTGCCTTCAGATGTCTTCTAAAAATCTGGTAGTTGTTTTTCTCTTTGACATCTGGTGGGAGGGCGTTCCACAGGGCAGGTGCCACTACCGAGAAGGCCCTCTGCCTGGTTCCCTGTAACTTGGCTTCTCGCAGTGAGGGAATCGCCAGAAAGCCCTTGGCACTGGACCTCAGTGTCCAGGCAGAACGATGGGGGTGGAGACGCTCCTTCAGTTGTGCTGCTCGAAGGGGTACTTTCTTTTATCTGTCCTGAATCTTCCAACATTCAGCTTCGTTGGAAGTCCATGAGCTCTAGCGCTATGAGAGAGGGCGAAAAACGGAGCTTCCCAGCCTCTTATCTCCTATTGCTGAATTCCCTCTCCCCACATGCATTCGTTACACCAAAATATAGCTTAATATGGGAGTCCTTTTTCCAGAGTTGTGTAATGAATAATGCACTGTGTGGCGTTCATTTGGGAGTGGGGGAGGCGGTAGCCCCCAGGGTAGATGGAGAGAAAAAAACGATGCAGCTGAGTTGGCAGTTCTCATCCTGCCTGTGCCAAGAGGGTCAGCAAAAGGATGTGACGGTGCTACTGAAAACTCTGACGGAGCTGGGAGGGGAGGGCCGGTCTCCCTGCCACATTTAAGGCCTGCTTTCTCCTCAGGAAGGCAAGAAAAGAGGAGGGAAAGCTTTTAGGTAGTTAACAGGGCCCAGGAGGCAGGTGGGAGGAACTGCTATAGATGCAAATTACATATATGTTCAGCTTAATGCCAAAGGGAGGAAGAAGGTGAAACCTTAGAACTGGTGACTTAAAAAGCCTCGGCTCAATAAATCCTCCTTCTCAGTAGCCCATAAATGTCTGTTTTATATTTGCTCATAAAATCATGCTGCTGGCAGGACCAACAATAGCAGTGGCAGCTCATTGACTGCTCTTGCACGGAAGGAAATGTGCCCGGACAGCTCAGCAGCAGAGGAGGATTTGAGTCCAGACATTTCAAGAAGTTTATTGTGTTTGAGTTTCTCTATTTCAGGCCTGCCTTTTTGTTGTCAGGTGCACGCCTGTTTCAGTGCCAAGAAACACGTTTGCTTATATATCTGCGCTACAGATAGTATGGCATATTTACCAGCCCTTTCCTCTCCCAGGTACTGATGTTCTGTGAGGGCAGCTTGGAGCCTCTAAAAGAATTTTCACCACTGTCACCCAACTATAATTCCCAGGATTATTTGGGTGGTTGAGTGGGGTGAACAATGACAGTTATGATATAAACTAATATAAACTAGTAGACTTAACATACCTTTAGACACATGGGGGAAACCCCCCAAACCCCATAGCTTTAGACATTTCCCCCCTTCATTTCATCTTTGTGCCCAGATCTCAGAGCCTAACTATATGTGATGCAGGTGATGTGATTCTCAACCACATTGTGTTGTTGTTGTTGTTTAATTAAATGCCTAGTGCAGAAGGTGGCAACTGATTGCCCTTGGGAATGTGGCGTTTGGTTAGGGCAAATTTAAGCTAGGAGTCGGGAGGGGGAAATCTGTGTCCTGCTGCATGTTACTGGACCCATCATCCCCTGCCACTGGCCGTGCTAGTTGGGACTGGTTGGAATTGGTATCCAGCAATATCTGGAGGGCAGCAGGTTCCTACCCACCCCGGTTTAAGCCTGTTAGTAAAATTAGCATGTTAGTGAAAACTGCTCCCTTCCATGTGGCGAGTTTACATTAGGAAAACACCGCTTGGAGCTCTCTTCCTAACGTAAGTTGCCTTGCAGGCAGGTTTTACCGCTATCATGGCCCCAGGAAAGAGAGGCTTGAACCTCTCCTGATCATGTGCTGCGTTTCTAAGGGCAATTCCCTTCTTCTCACTATGCCTGGTATTTTCAAAAATCCACAAGTGTCACACAGCTTAAATGTCACAAGGGTCTAGGCCCCTTCCCTTACTTCGCCACAGCCGTCTCTCCCACACCATTTTCAAGGTCACCGTTTCTGAAGTTGCTGCCTTTTATGTGCCTTGAGCTGGTTGGAATTTAGATCTCTTGGAGCTTGTCAATGCCGGCTATCTCTGACCCCTAGGCTTCTAGTGCCTAAACATGAAACATCTGTTTTGTCTGTTGGCCTCCAACCACTTTGCAGGGAGACCAGCTTTTGACCCTTTTGCCTGCTCGTTTGTCTTCCTTCACCCCTTCTAAAGGTAGGCAGCCCCCGACTGTCCAAATTAACCACTCTCCCTATGGGTTTTCCTTGTGGGCTATACCTGCTCTAGCACAGCCTTCAAAAATTATGCCTGGGGCTAACTCCCATTCTCTTCACTTCATAGGTTTCTGCGCTGCCTTTTGTATTTTGCAGGCAGCATGTGTTAAAAAGCACAACAGGGATTCTTCACCCAAGTCCTGAGCCTGCTTAAATGATTAGTCATTAATGGATTCTCTGGCTGAAGGATGTTCCTGCCTGCCAGCAGGAGATCTCAGCGCCTTCCCTGCTTGACAGTGAGCAAGCAGGCAGTGACATCCGCTCATCCTGCTTTGTCTCCATGGTTGTCTGGGCCAGAGCAAGAGGCGGGTGAAAAAGCTTGTTGCAATGACCATGAGCAGAAGCTCCAAAGGGCTGGGCCTCGGTAGTTCAGCAGCCAGGCCAAACTTGGATACCAGCCCTACTTTCCTGCAAACAGCCACCTTATTCACTCATAAGGGTGTAGATGCCGTTCTCTTCCCACCCTTAGAGCCAAAAATTGCTGGAATAGCCTCTTGGGCTGTCTATCCATGATTAGATGTGCCTGTGAGTACGTACCTGGCATAGGATGCTTCCAAATGGCTTGTTTATTGAATGCTTGTCCTTATTTGTTGACCGGGAGATAAGACTGCATTGGCTGTTGAATGAGCATTCATTCTGATCTGTTTGTGGAGAGCCGGTTAAATGGCATCTCACCACAGCAAGTATTATGCTATAGCCCAGCGGGTGGCGCTGTGTTCTAAACCACTGAGCCTTTTGGGCTTGCCAATCAGAAGCTTGGCGGTTCGAATCCCCGCGATGGAGTGAGCTCCCGTTGCTCTGTCTCAGCTTTTGCCAACCCAGCAGTTCGAAAGCACACCAGTGCAAGTAGATAAACAGGTACTGCGGCGGCAGGAAGGTAAACAGCGTTTCTGTGCACTCTGGCTTCCATAATGGTGTTCCGTTGTGTGAGAAGCAGTTTAGTCATGCTGGCCACATGACCCAGAAAGCTGTCTGTGGACAAACGCCGGCTCCCTCGGCCTGAAAGCAAGATGAGCGTCGCAACCCCATAGTCGCCTTTGACTGGACTTAACCATCCGGGGTCCTTTACCTTTTTTCTTTTTACTTCCCAGTGCATTTTGGGGAAGTGGGTTTGTTGCACAAGCCAACCCAATCAACTATAATTGTGCAACCTGAATTGTATGGTATGTGACGGAATCCCACCCCAAAACAGCAACCGCCTGGAAGCACCCATTGTCGGCTGTTTCAAGCAGGAGCCTTGCTAGGAGTAAATGTTCCTAATTACCAAGGCTATTTCAGGGCAAGTGAGTATCTCTTTAATGAGACATTCACTTTGCAGTGACGAAACCTGGAATTAAAACCCTAGTTAGGGACACCACTTGGGATATGAGATAGACTTCACCAGCTGTCCCTGGGATGTATCTCTGGGAACATCTGGTATGGATGCGCCCGCAGAAGTAATAAGAACAGTTGGAGAGACAGACAGATTTCCCTGCAAGATGATTCAGTGGAACAATTAACATTGCCTAAGCAAGCAGACTTCATGAAACTATGAGCAAAATCAGGAGAAGGATGCGGATAAAATGGCTTTAAACGATTGTGCATCTCAAGTGCCAAAGGGAAGCTTTCTCTATCAAGTTCTCCCGTGGAATCAGAAAGGGAAATGGCTTCTGTCAGAAGCAGCAGTTTCCCACCTCCATAATTCTAGTCTGTCAACAGCTTTCCTAGGATGACTGTAGGAAATCAAAGCTTAACAGTACACCTGCATGATCTGATAGTGTCTCTGATCAATAACCCTTTGAAACAATGTCCTGCATATGTGACCAGAAAATCAAGAACATACATTTTACCAGTAGCCATTGTGTTATGAATCTCCACCCCCTCTTCCTCCTTGTCCTTCTGTTAATTGTGGAAGAAGTTCCTTTGAATCTCAGCTGCAACCCCCCCCCCCAAAAAAAAACCAACAACAACAACTGAGGGGTTAAAATCTCCCCCAAAAGCCACAGATTTGTCCCTTCCTTATCTCCAGGCTCCGTGCTGGGACTAAGAAAGTAAGGCAGTATGCAAATATGCTTCTCATTCCGCTATGTGCATAAATCTCATGGTCTCTGATTTCCTGACGCTTAATCTCCCTCCCTCCTGGCAAAATTCTAATTTCTTTCCTTCCTTGTCTTTTCTTTCAGGATTATACTCGGGTGGTGAGTCCTATCATCGATGTGATAAGCCTGGAAAATTTTGCCTACTTAGCAGCATCAGCAGATTTGAGGGGAGGTAGGTAAGGTGAATAAGTAAATTCTTAAGAAAGGTCTCCCTCCCCCTGGATAGGCCCAACATAGCTGGTTCCTTTTGATCTCGATGCCAAATATGCCAGAATAAAAGCCTAGGATTTCATCAGCAGTTGAGCCTGTGCTCAGAGTGTGTATATGTGTGTAATTTCAAATCTTCATGGCTGTGATTATGGAGTACAGCCTTGAACAGTTTGTGCAGAATCCAGCTTTCACATTTATAAACACACACACACACACACACACACACACACACACAGAGTAGCATTTAGCCTTTCATAGTTGTTGTGGGTAACACCTGAAAATACATTGGCAATTTCTATGAAAACAGTAAGAATCTGGGAAGAGGGTTCAGGTTACAACTGAATGAGGGGAAGTCACCTTGCTGTCAGTTCCTTCCCTGTTCCCCATCCTTATTCCTCGACCTTAAAGACCAAAACGCCCTTAATTTGTGGTTTCTAAAAATAAGCTCATGCTTGTTTTAAGCCCGTGACATTATCTCTCGTTTTGCATTTAATACTGTGGATCCATCTATTGTATCTGTAATTTCATACACCTTAAAATGAAGCTTAATAATATATATGCGCTGTGAAAGAGATTCTGCCTGAGTGCCACACAGTCTCCTTTCTTTTTAAATTAGTTCTGACAATAGCTTAGTTGGAAAAGCATGAGACTCTTAATCTCAGGGTTGTGGATTCGAGCCCCACATTGGACAAAAAGATGCCTGCATTGCAGGGGGTTGGACTAGATTACCCTCTTGGTCCCTTCCAGCTCTCCAATTCTATGAACCAATGGCCAGCAGTTACCCCTTGGGCTTGTGAGCTGCCCACAGCCTATGGATTATTAACTTGGACGAAGGGCACCTGCAGCTGATCTCCAGATGTGACTGGAAAAGCTCCAGCCCTTTCCCTGCTTACTCCCATTTAGCAGTAGAAGGCAGCTAAACTACATACTCTAGCAGAGAAGGCTTTATCAGGCTCCGAGGGAAAGGATAGAAATCAAGAAAGCAGGGTACAAAATCAAACAAAACAGGCTATGTTATACACAACAGTGCGGGCTATAGGCTAAGTTTCAAAAAAGGTTTACATGCAATTCCTAGGTCTTCACAGATGTGCCTTTATCCTGAGCCGCCAGGAGCGGGGGAGATTGACAGGTGGAGGGAATTTCATGAATCAGGAGCTGTTAAGGGGCATGTGGTGCAATCCCTCCCATAGGCAGGTGATGGCATTGATGCTTGCCAAGGCAAGAAACTGGGAAACAGAGGTGCAAATTGGGGAGATATTTCTCTTCTGCTGCTGCCAGGCAGATTTATCGCAGGAAAGGCCCACTTTGTGGTGTCAAGGGAAAAGGCTGGTGTGTCTAGAGACGGTTGTAGGTTAATCGAGGAGGCAATACATGGAGCGGCAAGGGATTCTTAGAGGAGGGAAAGCCTGTGATGTCTTAGAGTAGCTGCTTCAGCCCAAGAGCTGGGTTTATTGAATGGAGAGCTCTCAGAGGCCATATTCCAACAGTGGGTATGGTCAAGCATACACAAACACACAACCCCCTTAACACACATTCCTAGCACATACACACATGGAAGGGAAAGAGAGAACCAGACATTAATTTCGAAAATGCGGTATGCGCACCTTCCTCCTCCTCAGCTGATCTATGCATGTTTGTTGGGGGTTGACGGGGGGGGGGGGAGAGAAGAACCTGCTTTTTTTAAAAAAAGTAGTAAAAGATAAAAATAAAAATGACATAAAAACAAAGGAAGAGGAAAGCAAAGATTTCCTTGAATAAGGAGAGGAATCTGCTTTGGAAAGCACAAATGTCTTTCCCCATTCAGTGCCATCTGCCACAGATTACTAATACAGATGACCAGCATACTAAGTGATTAATATGGGGAAGCCTTAGATTTGATAAGCCCCCAGAATTTCCTTTTATTTCACCCTTTTTATATATATACAAGGAACCCAAATGCAAAGAAGTCCAGCTGCTCCACTCTGTTCTCTTGGGGGGGGGGCATCTACACATTCACCACCCTTTCCCCAAGTGTTGGGGAAACACTGCTTCTACTCAAGTGCAGGTCTCAACTTCCCCTCCCTCTCAGTTTTGCAGAGCCCACTTGCATACAGCTCCTGCCATTCACCTTCCTTCCCACAGGATCTACCCAATTTGCAAAAATGGTAAATTAGGCTGCATTTTATGTGATGCGCATGGGGAAAAGCCAATTACAGCGAACAGAGAGACTTTGTTCCCAGAAATACATGTCATCCCACTGAGAGTGCTGATTAACGTCTCATAACTTTGGCGGCCAATGAGGCATAGGACAGTCTGAGTGGAAGGCTGAAGCACTAATTATTGCATTTCTCTCTGGGAACACACATTGGAAGATTTGGAATGCAATTGAGCTCAGATAAATACCGCTAAGGAACAGGGCGCATCTATAGGGATACCTCGAGGCCTGGCTAACACAAGTCTGCTTGTCTCCTGCTGCCCTGAGATCATGTGCGAATAAGCAGTGTCAACACCATCTAATTATTGCTAAGTGGTATGTGTTGCTGTGTTCCAAGCTTCTTCCCAATGCATCCTAAATGGAGACTTGAAGCCTATTTTCACATTTTCCAGAAACCCTTGTTAGTTTCTGGTTTTCCTCTGTATTTGAGAAACTGCAAACATGTTCTACTCTGTTCCGCATTTTAGGGTTTGACTGGAGCCTTCACTTTAAGTGGGAGCAAATCCCCATTGAGCAAAAATTGTCCAGAACAGATCCTACTGAGTCCATCAGGTAAGCTCTTTTGCTCACAACTTCATCTTTTTGTCTGATATGAGAAGCTGTTCCATTTGTTGATGTTACCACGGGAAGTGTTCAGAGGTCATGTGTGGTTCATTTAAGAGCTGCAGTTAATCAATATCTATTGTTCCCTGAAGAGTTTTAATATTCCTGACAAATACTTGCAACTCAATCTGTTGGCTTGAGTGGCCTGCACTGCTATAATATGCAGTGCATAGTATATTGGTTTTTCAGGCTGTTATGAATATATGCGGCCATCTCCTTTCTGAGGCAGGGGAAATGTCATGGCCCTCATTTTAGAAATTGTTACCATTGTCTAGCAGGAACAATGAACTTTTCCAAGCTGGCGCGTGACCAGAATAGGGTCTACTGCGGCCAAGACAAGGCCATCCTTTTCCCTCAAGGTTTCAACAAAACCTTTTGCACATTCTGTGGTGGTGACCTATATATTCACTGCCTGATTAATTCTGATATATACACACATTCTCTCTCCACACATACTGTAATGCAGATAGGTAAAGGTGAAGGGATCCCTGACCATTAGGTCCAGTCGTGGCCGACTCTGGGGTTGCAGCGCTCATCCCGGGAGCCGGCGTATAGCTTCCGGGTCATGTGGCCAGCATGACTAAGCCGCTTCTGGCGAACCAGAGCAGCACACAGAAACGCCGTTTACCTTCCTGCCGGAGCGGTACCTATTTATCTACTTGCACTATGACGTGCTTTCGAACTGCTAGGTTGGCAGGAGCAGGGACCGAGCAACAGGGAGCTCACCCTGTTTCAGGGATTCAAACCACCAACCTTCTGATCAGCAAGTTCTAGGCTCTGTGGTTTAACCCACAGCGCCACCCGCGTCCCATATAATGCAGATAAGGACCACTAAATCGAGGCAAATTAAAAGAAGGAAGATAGGTGGATTGAAGCATAATCTTATCAGCTGATTTGCACTCATATGGGTGTCCACACTGCCTGAATTTGTGGGTGTTGGATCTCTAGTACAGTACCCCCAACTCCTCTAGTCTTAAGCACCCAGGATGATTAAGCTTGTTCTAGTGTCTGCTGGTCCACATGGCTGATTGGGACAATCACAAGGTCTGTACATTCTTCTGCCTGACTTTAGTGCTGCGGTTCAGTGTAGTGGTTAGGGTGCTGAACCTAGGAGACTGGGCTTCAAATCCCCACTTAGCCATGAAACTCTTAAGAGCATGAGAACAATAGAAGAGCCTGCTGGATCAGGCCAAGGGCCCATCTAGTCCAGCATTCTGTTCTCACAGTGGCCAACCAGATTCCTGTGGGAAATCTGCAAGCAGGATTCAAGCAGGAGAGCCCACTCTCTTCTCCTGTGGTTTCCAGCAACTGGTGTTCAGAAGCATTATTTCCTCCAGCTGTAGAGGCAGGGCATAGCTGTGATGGGTATTAGCCTTCGATAGCCCTTTCCTCTATGAGGAAACCCATTGGACGATCACTGTCTCTCAGCCTAACCTGCCTCACAGGGTTGTTGTGAAGTTAAAATGGAGAGGGGGAGAAACATGAGTGCTGCCTTGAGTTCCTTGGAACAAAGGTGGGATATAAATGTATTACTAATAATTATTATTGTTATTATTAATATGGCAGGATTTACTTGCCTTTCCCTATCTTCCCAATCGGGATTAGATGGTTCAGTTGGGGGCAAAGGAGGTGCCTGGTTGCACTGCCAGCTGAATCTGTAGGTATGCCTCTGGCATGGGTGTAGAAAATCAGTCAACTTGCATTTTGCTTCAGGGTCTTCTGCTTGGCTTACTTGCTTAGTTCTTAAACAATACCATACTCTGGTTATGCAGAAACCAGGTTATAATTGCTGCCAATGTAACTGCAGTTAAGGGCTGTGTGTGTGATTGTGTGTATGTACATACATGGGGGGTGGGGTGGGGAGAGAGAACATGAGTGATCTTGCACTTGCTTCTAATCTCTTAACTACAGTTAAGGTTTTACTCTGCACCAGCTCATAGAAAATTCTGGAGTCTAATGGTTCTTCTTTCTAAATGACTTCAGATGGAACATGTTGCTGTATATATGCAGTATGTTTCTGTTGCATTTAAATATATTTCACTGATATTTTGTGTAAATCCTTTCTTGCCCTCATTTCCCCTAGAACACCTGTCATAGCAGGAGGCATCTTTGTGATAGATAAATCTTGGTTTAACCATCTTGGAAAATATGACACTCAGATGGACATCTGGGGAGGAGAGAACTTTGGTGAGTTGATGCCGTGACTTCTACTTTTGTTGTCTACTCTCTTCAGTTCTTCCCAGGTCACCTGGTCACACAACGTTTCCTTCTGCTTGGGAGCATCATAGATTGTGGCTTTCACCCTCATCCAGGAACTACTTGCAGACTGATAAGATCTGTTTCCAGCCACCAGGCATACTGCTCTGCAGATCTATGTATATGTCAGTCTCACTCTACAGATTCTTAGACAACATTTTTGCGAGATCTTTATTACTGGTTTGCATGCATATGTGTTCAAAGATGATAATAACAATAACAACAACAACAATTTATTATTTGTACCCCGCCCATCTGGCTGGGTTTCCCCAGCCACTCTGGGCGGCTTCCAACAAAATATTAAAAATACAATAAAACATCAAACATTAAAAACTTCCCTAAACAGGGCTGCCTTCAGATGTCTTCTAAAAGTCTGGTAGTTGTTTATTTCCTTGACATCTGATGGGGACAACGTTCCACAGGACGAGTGCCACCACTGAGAAAGCCCTCTGCCTGGTTCCCTGTAACCTCACTTCTCACAGTGAGGGAACCGCCAGAAGACCCTCGGCGCTGGACCTCAGTGTCTGGGCTGAACGACGGGGGTGGAGACGCTCCTTCAGGTATACTGGGCTGAGGCCATTTAGGGCTTTAAAGGTCAATGCCAACACTTTGAATTGTGCTCAGAAATGTACTGGGATCTTGAAAGGGGTCCAGAAACAGGAAATGTCATAGATACTGTTAGTTAGATTAGTACAAAACTGCTAAGGATTCAACCATGATGCTGGAGGGTTGTGGCAGCTAGGAGCTCGGAGAAGGAAATGGGTCAGAGTTGGATAACTAACATTGCATTGGGCTTTCAGAATGCTTTCCAGATTGGGCTTTCCAGATTGAGGGGAAATGGAGTTAAGATATTGGCCACAGGTCTGTTTTATTTATTCCTATCCCATGCTTCAGCCAGCAGGCTCCCAAAGCAGCTTATAGAAATAATCCAATTCAAACACAATAAAAACCATAATTAAATCCTAATTAAACACCACAAAATCAGTAATGATAGAAGAAAGATGCAAATAAATGTTTCCCAACTCAGCTCATTAAAACCAGATTACCATAAAAGGGTGGTGAGAAAGGTCTTCACCCTCTTTCAAAAAAACGCCTGCAACATGCTGGCCAGATCCAGCTCTCCCAGGAGTTCCATGCAAGGGCCACCCACCAAACTTCCATAGATAGTGGGCCCTGGCAGGAACTAGAGGCTTGGGGTGAAGGCCAGGATCCATATCACTTGGGGCTGGTGATAAATCTGCTTTTCCTACTCCACCTGTTGCAGTAGATGCCATTGATCTTCACCATCACGTATTGACCTTCAGTGGCCAGACAAAAGAACATATCAGAGACAATCCATAATATGAAATATCCATGAAAGCCCTTTCTAGTGACTGTACAACCTCTCCCCTCCTTTGTGATTGATCTGGCAGTCCCTTCCCTGGTGTTTTCTTTGTGCCTCCAAATAAATATTCAAATAGGGAGCTTGACCAGAGTGGCAGATATTAAACACAGGAGGATGGATCCATAAGCTTTCGCAAGGTCACCTCTCTTCAGTGATTCAAATGAGCTTTTGAACATCAAAGCCCTGGTGGTCCTCTGATGCTATTAACAAAGAAATAAAAGTGAATTTTACTTCAGGGCAGCGAAACGTCTAGAAGCAAAGGGGGATGGGTCAGAATATATCTGTTTAAATAAACAGGGTCAGACACTGCCGTAGGAAACTGAGTTGCTTAGCAAGTGAATCAATAGTGGGTTTGGGGGTTTTCTGAAAAGTTGTACATTAAAGAGAGAAAACTCCAATTTTAAGAAAAGGGAAGGTTTCAAACAGGCTCTTTGGCCCATTGTGCTTCCAGGTTTTTGCAGTTCCAGTGTTGATTCCCATAATACGTGTGGACCTGCACAAGCAGTAGTGGTCCAGATATTTTAAAAAGCACAAACATTGACCAGTGCAGACATCCCCCTAAGCAGTGATTAAAGCGGATTACACGTTTTTCTAGAATTCCCATAATCTTTTGGCATCTCTTTAATCTCAAACGTGTTGCTTGGAACACCACAATGTTTTTCAATGTCTATTTTCACCAGTGCCCTTAAGATCATGAATTTGTCTTCCATTTCCTGTCCCTCGCTTTGTACTCTCACACCGATTCAGCCCTTGAAATTGATTCCTTTCATCTTACTCTAACAATCTTCTCTAATATGTACTGTCTTTCCCTTTAGACACTCTGGAATGTATCCAACAGGGTCTGTGTAAAAGCAGAACTAAGTTTGTCTCATGCAGCATGACTTCTCCTTCCTTTCCTCCCCCTTGCAGCTTCCTGCATGTTCCCATATACTCTGGAGGGTTGGGGGACACCCCCCCAAACAAGTAGATTTGGGGGGAAGCACAGGAGGCCGCTGGGGGAAGGGAGAAGAAGGCGAAGCCCCATTGGATGAATAGAACTCTGCTCATTTATATCAAGAGAATCTTACTCTGGTGAACAAGTCTGTTGTAATCTTAATTGCTCACTGTTACAGAATAATGCCATACATATTGATAGCTTACAGGAAGGCCCCTCCTGACTGGTGTTTTATTGTGGGTGATTTCTACAACGTGTTCTTGACACAGTAATAGTGCATTAGTGGTAGATTTGTTCTGCTTTAGTTTGTTCTGCAATGCTTCCCCAATGCTGCCACATTACTGCTGTCCAGAGGGACTACGGGACAACAGAAGTGGGATAAGAAGTACACTAGAACATCTGTGGGGTATAAAGTTACAGGATTTCAGCAAGAAGTTACCGGATGTGCACTGATTGGAAATCAGTGCAAACAGTATTGAACGTGGAATCATGCATGATCACTTTGATAGCATCATAAGCACAAAATAATCTTGAATGTGTAATTGAAAGGAGGGGTCCCAAGACTCCACCTAAAAAGACCAGGAAGCTCATCACTATCCTGATCAGAGGGACCAGGGAGGGGAAATCATCTGGAAATTCATTTATTTCCCCCCTCAGCAAGAAGCATCATCATCTTTAAGAAATCCTTTTTCACTTTACCCATTCTTGCCTTTGTGGTTTCTCATTGTATTAGTCATGTACAAGGTGAGATGGGAGTGAAAAATAAGGCATAAAACCTTCACATTTCTTCTCTCACTTTATTTTTCTGCTGTCTTGGATCTTTTCTAGAGCTTTCTTTCCGCGTCTGGATGTGTGGAGGCAGCTTGGAGATCGTTCCCTGCAGCCGAGTAGGCCACGTTTTCAGGAAGCGCCATCCGTATGACTTCCCTGAGGGAAATGCGCTGACTTATATCAAGTAGGAATGGGTGACTCCTTGATCCCAGTTCAGGAAACAGGAGGGTGGCAGAGTGCATTTAGGCCCAAGTAGGATATAGTGTTTGCCTGAAGGAAAGAAAGGACACTGGGGCCAACTTCTTGAGTTATTTGCCAGTTTTCTTCCTTCACTCAGGGACTTGAGTATGAACCCATATGGAATTCATGAAAGCTGCTTGGATATTCCTGGCTAAATCTATCTCGTTTCCTGCTGTTTTTGTTTATTTGTATTTATAGCAAACACTTCTCTAATACTTTGGAAATAGTATTTTAAAGCCTCTATATACATTGGGTATATACTTTATATACTTGGAAAAAACCACTATACTAATGCAGAGTAGTGTGTGAGCTATACCCTAATTAAATAGCAGTTTATAAAAACCATTGAAGTATATTTGACAGTGAGCCACTATTTAATGTAAAAATATGATTTTTAAATTAAGGGTGACTGTTTATCATGCAGGAGTACAGTTGCACAGGCTCAATACTTGTGGTCTATAGTAACCCAGTGTTAATTTCTGTGTGGGTTCTCGCAAACCGCTGATATGTTTTGGCCAGAATTAGACATTATGGAAAACATGCGGCTCCTGCCAAAAACAGCAGCCCCGGTTTTCCTCTTCTCTTCACCAGCAACGCAAGTTTTTCTACCCCCGCACGGCAGCCAGTAAATCCCTGTTCAATTACCCTCCACTCATAGCTGCTTTGTGGCATATGTGGAAGATCCAGATGTCTCAACCCTCTTACATATTTTGCACCTGTTATGACCCCAAGTATGCAGGATGGTTAAGAGGCTTCTGGATCTTCCACATGTGCCACAGAGTGGCAGCAGCTCTGAGTGGAGGCAATGGGTTGAATCCAACATCATGTGAACAAAGTTCTGCTTGCACAATAGGACTTCCTCTGCAGTCCCTTGTGTTGTCAATTTTCCAGAGCATAGAGCTGAAAGGGAGAGGAGAGGATGGAGAAGTCCCATTGTGCAAGCAGAACTCTGTCCCACTCACACGCGAACACCACTGGATACAGGAAGGACAACTGAGTGGCTGCCATAGAATTTTGTTAGCTGCCATGGTGGGAAACCAGTGTACCTCTTCCTTTACAGGGATTTTCTCACAGGAGTGTGCTGGTGTTGTTCCATCTGAACACACACCACTCTGTTTTCCATGCATGCTCCCCAAAATTGGCTCTGGATTAGGTTCAGGAGAACCCCCATGTAGGGGAAGGAGAAGGCCAGTCATTCCATCAGGCAAGCTTAGTAACTATGTTGAATTCTTCCCTGCATATCCAAGGTTCTGTGGAATATAAATAACCTTAGAGAAAATAACAGTTGAATAGCTGTTTTATGTTGATGCAGCCGTTGGGATGGATGAATCAGTTGTGGTCTTGCAAGCTCAGAGATGGAGTGCAAACACCACCACCCATCAATTGGTTCCTGTTTTGGGGGAAAGGTACAAGTTTAGTGATGACATCCCTGTGCTTCCAAATTTGCTGGCGATGAGAATTTGGGAGGGTTGAAGTTTCCATAAGGGTGACTTAATTTCATGTCATGACAAACGGTACAGTAAATAACCGTGGTTCACCTTTCCCTTCTGCAGAAATACCAAACGTACAGCAGAAGTATGGATGGACGAGTACAAGCAGTATTACTATGAGGCCCGGCCATCTGCCATTGGAAAGTCATTTGGAAGGTAAGCATCCCAAACCAGGCCAATGGGTATTCGTGTCAGATAGCTCTTATAAGCTACTCTTAGGGAGAGCTGACAGCATAGGCACTCTCCCATGACTAACAGGCCCCTGGAAACATGATTCGAACAGCTGATTAACACATTCTAGTATTGATTGGTTTTATATTTAAACATAAGTTCATCTCCTGCACTCTATGGTAGTGGTTCTGTATAATCGAAATGGCTTGAACTAGATGACTTTAAAGGGGATTAGGCAACTTTTGGGGCTTTAGCCTATCAACAGTGACCAGTAATGAACATGATGGTTATATCCTGCCTCTGGGATCAGGGTTATTATGCCTCTCAATACCCATTTCTAGGAGAAGCTGTTGCTTGTGGGCTTCGGCATCTGGTTGGCCATTATAGGATGCTGTACTAGATACTAGGCCTTTAGTTGGTCTGATCAAAAAGGGCTCTTCTTACCACATTTCTGGGCATAAGGTCTACCTGACAAGGCAGCACTTTGCCAGGGATTCAGGCAAGGGGTTTCGCTATGGGGATTTTTTTTTAAAATGTTTTGCAGATTCATAGCTGAAACCTGCTATATATGACACTGATTGGCTGTCACCCATCATGTTCCTAAGAAATCTCTCATATGCAAAATCCGCAGAACAGTTATGCATTTTAAAATACCGTTACAGGTTAGGTTTTTTTTTAAAAAAAATTAAGTCAACAATTTAATGCATCACACTTGTAAAACGTAAAAAGGAAGGCCGTCTTGAGAGAAGGGCAACACCAGTGACTGCACCAGCATATGATTTGCTGGTATGTATGTCTGCTTTTCAGTTTGTGAAGCCTGAGAAAATGAGTTTTGTTTGGCAGCTGAGGGATCCATTGTGACTTCACTTTTTATATCACCATAAACAGATCCCGGGCTGAGGTGACGGCGTTTACCTGACCTCCTGGCAGTGAAAGTAGGCAAGACGGTGAAGTGGTTGTTTGCTGTGGAACCTTATTGGCTTAGCTGGTGCCAACCTCCCCACCGCCTTGCCCCTCACAGTAGGCTGTGGAGACTTTGCTGCCGGGAGGTTAGGTAACCAGTGCTGCCCCCGCCCTGCGGTCTGCTACTGTATATTACCTTTCTCTTTACCCTTACGTAACTGGATTCTAGGCAAAGCAAGGAGAAAGATGCTACTGGGAGCAGAATAAACACTCCCATGCTACTTCAGTTTCCCAGTGAGCTGTAGGATACATCCATATCTGGCCCATGCAGCCCAAAAGGGTTCAAGATGAACAGAGGAGTGGGACTACATTAATAGATGCCTTGGGAAAGGAGGAAGAGACAGGCAGAAGAGGTCCGACTTAGCCCATCAGCCTGAGATTCCTCCCCGCCCCCTGCGCTAAGCTTAAAATAGAAATTACAAAAGCACCTCTGTTAGGACTTGTTAGCATAGGTGTTGTGAAAATGTGTCATTGTATTGTTTCAGTAGCATGTGGCTGCACTTCACACATTTGGGCATTTTGTAATCTTTGCTTGTGTTCTGCCTGTGTTATGAGAATCTCTTTTGTCCACATTCACAACGAAGATAGGAACAATTTGCTTTTGCTTCCAGTATTGTGGACCGGGTGGAACAGCGCAGGAAACTGAACTGTAAATCCTTCCAGTGGTACTTGGAGAACGTCTACCCTGAGCTCAAGTGAGTCATCCTTTGAATCTCAAGTAAAACCGCAGGATGTATATTTAACATTGTGGGATGGAGGAAAGTGGCAGGTGCTTTCCCAAGAGGTAAAACATGCTTGTAGCACATTGGAAAGATGCATGACAAATTGGAGGTTCTTTTCTGGAACAGGTATCTCCATGCCTCCCACCCATGGGCCTGACATGGCTCTGTTTGAACCAATGCCTCTTCACTATGGCAGCTTGAACTTTTGAGGTGGGAACTGGGAGCTCATCCACACGTGATTTGTCTCATGCCCAGAAAGCATGAGTCCAAGGGATTTTCCACTTGTCTCATGTTTCTAGGCGAGTGGTTTTGTGTTTCCTCTGCTGCTTTTCCTGGGAAAACCTGCTCCTTAACCCTGAATTGGAGCAAACATAAATCTGTAGAAAACACGATTGATGTTTGCTCTGATTCAGTGGTAAAGATCAGGTTTTCTGAAAAGTTGCTATGGGAAACGGTAGAAGGCACAGTTGGGTCGAGCTTAATTTATTGTGAAAGGATAAAGCATCAGAACCTCATAAGCAAGGTGTAGCCTTCTTTCATGAGGCATCCTAGAAGGCAAAAATATATCACCCACTCAGAGAACAATGGAGTTATGTGGTACATCAGTTGGAGTGATAGAAATGAGAATACATATGCCGGTATATGTTGTAATATGTTTAGAAGTTATAATCTGTTGTAATTAAAACGAATAAGACTGATTCTGAAACCTTTTGCCATAATTTGAAAAAGATCAAAAAGTCTGCTTGCTTAACTGGTACAAACTAGTTAGTATCACTGAGGTAAATGTGGTGTAAGATGCACCTCATTTCTGTGGGTTAAACCACAGAGCCTAGGACTTGCCGATCAGAAGGTCGGCGGTTTGAATCCCCGCGACGGGGTGAGCTGCCGTTGCTCGGTCCCTGCTTCTGCCAACTTAGCAGTTCGAAAGCATGTCAAAGTGCAAGTAGATAAATAGGTACCACTCCAGTGGGAAGGTAAACGGCGTTTCCATGTGCTGCTCTGGTTCGCCAGAAGCAGCTTAGTCATGCTGGCCACATGACCCGGAAGCTGTACGCCGGCTCCCTCGACCAATAAAGCGAGATGAGTGCTGCAACCCCAGAGTCGGTCATGACTGGACCTAATGGTCAGGGGTCCCTTTACCTTTACCTTTACCTTTACCTTAAGAAAGAGCTGGAGTGGGTTAGTTAAGGGGCATAGTTAATCTTGGGGGGGGGGGAGAGAGACTTTCTTGTATACAATTTGTAGCCCGAGAAAAACAAACGGTTCACATATATACCTGCTTTAACATGGTATTATCATTCTCACAATTCTTCTTGTTCTTCTTGAATTCCCTCAGTGATTTCAGTTGATTGCAATATTCTTTTTATTGCTGTGTTTCACTCCAGAGGTGGGATAGCATTTCTGTGTCGTGTGATACTATTCTCATATGTATATGGAAGATTTATTTTTATTTTCTTCTGGATTATCACCATCAAATATAGAGATGGTATTGATAATTTGGCAATTTGTGTTGTGGTTTTGTTTTGTCTCTCAGGGTTCCAGAAAAGGAGCTGATTCCTGGCATCATCAAGCAAGGAGCAAATTGCTTGGAGTCTCAGGGACAGGATACAGCAGGGAATTCTCTAGCAGGGGTTGGAAGCTGTAAAGGGACAGTGAACAATCCTGTGGCCACTCAGGTGAGGTGAACTGAAGTTGGTCCCTTTATTCTTTTCTACTGCTTTTCTACTACCTACTGGGGAAGGTAAATGTGTGCATTTGAAGCATGGTGATCTTGGTGGATCCCTTGGCTGGGCAGAGGCAGTAGATAATTTGTGGACAATAGGGCTAGGCCTCATCAGGCCTTGCCTCAGTTCTTCCTCCAAGCCACATTGATTCTCCTTGTTGGAGGGCAGAGAAGGAATTGACTGGGATTCATCCTTCCCTGAAGGTCCTCCCCAGCCACTTGAGTGGACCCCCATGATAAAGTACTTGCACAGCAAACCATCATAAAATGGGTTGCCCACAAGGCTACCGCCTCATGCAGCAAAATCCACAGGGGCAGCAGATTCAGCATCCAAGGAGTGCATCACCCACTGCTGCTGTTGCAATTGCAGTAACAGCTGTGGTGTGCTTCTTGGAGGCTGGAGGCTCCCTCCTTGGCAGCTGCTTGCCCCCCCAGTACCACCTCTATAGCAGCCTCTTGGCCAATAGGAGGCACTGCTGGTCTCCTCCCACCCTTATTCCCATTGTTGAACTTCACTCCCCACACCCTTATTCCTGATGGAGATCTTCACTCACCCCTTCTTCTATGGCAGGGGAGACCTTCTGTGGTTCGCCTAGGGTACCAAAATGTCTTGGGCCAACCCTGGTAGCCCAAGCTCTTCTTCCGAATCGGCGCTGCTTGACATGAGCTTTTTTTTCAGTCAGACATCTCCCCTCTGGCCATTTCCTTGGCCCTTGAAAATCAGCACAGCCTGTAGGTGTTCAGCCAGAACAGATGAGAAGGGTCAGGGAGAAAATTCAGAGAAACTCACAGAAACCAGCCCTCAGGGTTCCAGCATCGTGTGGCCAGCAGTTTTGATACAGTGCCCACATAGCATTGTTTGGAATTAGGGGAGCAGTGAAGAGAATGGAGAGCTAATGTGAAGAATGACCCAGATCCACTTATTATCTTACAATTCCATTACTATTCTGTTTTACTATTGCCTTAAGGACATAGTTCAGATGTAGAGACAGGAAGTCCCTTGCCACATGCAGGAGCTGTCCAACAGAGGAGGAGGAGGAGGCAGCTATTTAAAGGACATTGGGAACTATGGTATTGTGAAAACAAACTTTTATGTCTTGAGGCTGTTTCACACAGTACACAGTTTTCCTGAACTACAATGAAGGACAAAAAAAGTGAAATCAATGCGTAATATCTGCAGCTGTGGTGATTGCCCACACATGTATTGCATTACATGTACAGGTATGGGGAGGCCACACGTTTACCATGGATGTGATGGTCAGAATCTACAGACCACTTTTTTCCTACATGGAACTCTATAAATAGTGATACCATGTAAAATAGTATTTAGTGGCTCCTAATCAACCAGATTTGTTGGATATGGGAATAATGCCCACTTTATTCCCCCCTGAGCTTTTCACCAGTTCTGTTTGGTATGTAAAAGTTAATGGCACTACTATCACACAGGGAATATATGTATGTTGATCCTGGGTGTGGTTGCACACGTGTATTATTAATATTATTATTATTAATTGAATTTATATACCGCCCTATACATGGAGGTCTCAGGGCGGTTCACAGAAAAGATCAACATAAAAATAACAATATATATATAATCAAAATAAAAACAACAACCCAATAGCACACACCCCCCACCCAAAAAAGAGCCACATTTTAAAAGGGCATAGGATGTCAATCAGAACAACTTAAGGCCTGGTTAAAAAGCAACGTTTTTGCCTGGCGCCTAAAGGTGTATAATGAAGGTGCCAGGCGAACTTCCCTGGGGAGAGCATCCCACAGAATGCAAGGCACAGAATTAGATACTGCAGGTTGTAGGAGTTAGAAGTTATGGTGACAGATTGCTGTAAAGAATTTACTGCTCTAAATCTGTTTAAGGCTGTGCACACATTGCCAGTTTAAAATGCAGCTAGGTCATAGCACGACATTGGATTCCTCTAGCTGGCATATCCAAAGTCCGTGGGCCCTTCACTTCATCAAATCTGGCCCTCTTTGAAAAATGTTTCAACACCCCTGTAGATAAATGTGGATTGTGGTTAACATTGTATGGACATTGCTTCCCAGAGCAGTGCTGAGAGTGCATTGGATCCAGAGGACACAGCCTAAGACCTTTTCGTTCACCCAGGTTTTTATATTGGTGTTTTAAATCTCCGGGAGGGGGGTTTTCCTCTCCCTTTTGCAAAAAAATTATATTTTTCTATTGCTGATTATGATGTATTAGTATTGTTTTGTTTGTAAGCCACCCAGGGGGGAATTTCTTTGTGAATAAATATTGGCTTTGCTTATTCTGGAGTAGGTAGCAAATCCCCTCTATGTTGAATAAGAATCAGTTGCAAATGCTCTCAAAATTGGCTTGAAATAGTAGCTGCTTTCTTTATAATTCATTATGGGCATTCATAATAGAACTGCTCTGTAACATAGCAGCTCATGCTATATGTGGCAAAATCCTCTACACATTTTTTAAAATATACTTTTAATTATTTCCTGGAAAGAGAACAATACAGAATAAAATACAGAACAAACTATTGGAGTACATAGTAAATAGCCACAAACATAACATGTAGCTACAGAATCTTGCTTTTTGCAAAACCCTTTAAACTTCAGTGGCTTCTGAGGAATTTATTCCAGCTGACAATCTCGACCGGGAACCCTTCATTCAGATGCTGTCATATAGCAAGGAAGCCGCTTGAGTCAGCAAAAGGTCGCAGTAGGATACTGGATGCCAACAAATGCTCACTCACATCTGTTAATGGTTGGGAATGAGCCTGCAGACAGCGTCCAACAAGCTGTTTGATTTGACTTGCTGTGCTATTTTGTCATTGTTTGAAACTGCTGAAATTCATTGAACTGTATCTCTGTCCTGGGAATTATCCCAGCGAAGAAGGCGAATGTTAATTGTCTGTTGGGAAGGATGGTTATTAGGTGGGAGGGTAAATCAATGAAGTGGGCTTGCCCTCTTGCTCTGTGTTTGTTACTGGTGGGTGTCTATGCTGTCTCCCTAATGATAAATTGCATGTTTTGCCACCATAGACAATAGCTACAATCGTGTTTTAGAAACAGGTTGATAACTTTCCCTATTGGGGAAGATAAGTAGAAACTGTGGCCTGTTCTAGAAAAAGCAAGGGAGGGGGGAATCCTCAGATCCAAGGCTTGAATGTGTCCTTACTGATCTCTCCATCAGACCCTTGGGATGGTGCCCAGGCTTTGCCCCACCCCCAAGCCTCTCCCTAAGCACCACCTCTCACTGGTCCCACTCTGTCCCTTCCTTGCATGCTCTTGCATGGAATGTGTCCTTGCACTGTGATACTGCCTCTTGCTGGTCCAGATGGAAAGAGGTGTATGGGCTGTATGTAAAAAAAACCAACCCTCTGTTTTTTGGATTGTTTTAAGGTAAGGCTACTGCATGGAAGGTAAGAGGCACATCTCTTGCACTGCTCAGCTGTGCCTCTGGCCCCACCCACTATTGTCATGTGACCTTTGGGAGGTTTTCCATAAGGGGATGTGGCCCTTAGGCTGAAAGGTGTTTCCCTGCACGCCCTGGCCTTCCACCTCTGCCAATCATGGGAAAAGGTTGTCCAAGGTTGAAATCCTTGGACAAGCTGTTGTCTAGCAAGAGGGAGAGCCAATTAGTATCCTTTGAAGCACACCTCAAAAGCTCTTTTTTGAACCCTGAATTCTTTGAGTGCCCAATCTTTCCCAAACTATATCAGGATTTCAGTCTCTGTTTCCAAAACCGAGTGTCCTTCACATATGCAGTGTTTCTTGCCTTTTTCCTGCTATGTTTCCCCTCTATACTGAAAGCTGCTGCTGCTGCAGGTTCAGTAACCTCTGAAGAAGTAAGTGGACCCCTCCTGCTAGTTCCTACCGTGCTTTGTCCTTGCGATCACAGGTACATGCATGCCCAAAGGCCATTGCATAGAGAAATTCAGGTGACGAAAAGGTCTGAGTCAGCCCTTTTCTTACAAGCAAAAGCAACATGCACTGAGCACTTGATGACTTAAAGAGGTATTGTGTTTCCATCACTGAACTGTGTTCTTTTCTTCTTCCTCCAAAGGAGTGGATATTCAGTGACCCTTTAATCAGGCAGCAGGACAAGTGTCTTTCAATCACCTCTTTCTCCGCTGGCTCTCAGATCACAATTGAGGCATGCAATCAGAAAGATGGCAGACAGGTACTGTGCTTCCTTAATCACACTTCCCCTGTTTTATTGTGGTGCCATTGTAGTTTAGTTTTGAAAATTATTGTATAAGGGTGGTTTGGGATACAATCCATGGTGATATCATAAAGCTGGTGTGTTTGTGTGTGTGTGAGTGGTGTGAGTGCCATCCAAAGCACACTGGCCATGCTGACTGGGGCTGATGGGAGCTAGAGTCAGACAACATTTGGGGGGCATCTAAGCCATTTAAAATAAGAATAAATAAAGAACATTAGTAGCAACAGCACAGGTATCGGGAGTGGTAGGGTTGGTTTGCACATCACACTTCATGACACAGGTAATATCTAATATGTGTTCATGTCACTGGTACAACTCTATAGAAAAGGATACGGAAACGTGTTGCTTTGCTATAGCATATGTTATGCCAGAAAAGGTAAAAACTGGCTGCTTCCCTGCATGAGCTTTAAAGACTAGGGCTCAGCTTAAATTTCTGATTCAGTTTTTTGGGGGGCGGGGAGTATCTCGAAATTGAGGATGGAATTTTGGGGAGAATTTTCTGAAAGGTTATGTGATGAAACTTGCCACTGGTGGTGAGTGGCAGTGACTTCTCTCCCCCCCCAGCTATTATAATATAGGGTTGTGTAATGGTTCTAGGGGTTGCTCGTGCAAACACCTGGCTGGGTTGCCTGAGTGAACCTTTTCTGTCCGGACAGCCACTCTCTCGTGGCTGTCTCAATCGCTGGCAGAATCCGTCAGTGGGCGTTTCTTAAACTTCTTCCAGCAAAGAAGCTCTTTGACGCCCAGTCTCCTCCTACTCTCTCTGTGCGAAAGCCTTCTGCACAAGGAGGGCGTAGGCAGCGGAGGACCTCTACTCTCCCCGCTGGTCCCCGGCAAGGAGTCATGGGACCGCCTCGCCGCTTCCCCCATCTGCCCCCCTTCTCCACTGGTGCTACGCTGATTCTCTTCCCCAGAAGATGGGCTGCCTCTCCCACTCCCGGGACGCTCTCTGGAATCCCTCTGGATTTTGCTCTCTCCCTCCGGCACTGATGGCAGTTCCCTGACAGGTTGCAATATGTCCGGGAACTCCCGGTGGTCATACATGCCCATCCGGGGGGGAATTTTACATTTAAAAGCAAATGCCCTGGATTTGGGGGTGTGTGTTTTTTAAAAAAGTGTGTGTGTGGCTCTTGTTCAGGGTCTGGCTCTGGCGCAGACAACCGTGGCTCAAGCTCGAGAGCGCCAGGGGGGCTATTGCTATAAGCTCAACAACTTTCGTGCCTCAATAACCCTACTATAATAAACTGTATTTTTGCTATCGCCGAAGGTGGGGTGGCTGAAGCACAGTTATTCGTAGCAGCCCTCAACTGGTGGCCAGGTTACACGCCCCACCCCTCCTGCAACTTATAGCTCCTCTCAAACTATGCATAGTGTCATTTCAAGGGAGACGTGGGGCGGGAGAGGGAGAGATCGTGACCATGACTGGCAACTCCTATTTTTTCTCCAGGATACCCCTGGAACAGTGCTATATCATGACAAAGCATTGTTCCAGGTCACAGCAAAATAACTGTTGCTTTTTGGTGGTCTCTAAGAGCAGCCCTGTTTGTTGCTGCAGCTACTTGCATTTGTGGCAGCAAAAATAAAGTTTGAAGCCTCAAGGGGATTTTAAATAAGAAAAGAGGCAGAAAAGAGAGAAACCATTGGAAAAATGCCTCCCTGAATTCTTCCAGTCCCCCTCCAAAAATTGACAACCCTCCCCACAGTTTGCTACCTGCTAAATGGATGTAAAGTAGGGGTGGGATTCATCTAACCCATAGATCAGCAAAGGTTCTGAATTCCTGGTATGGGAGGTTTTTCTATTTCTATTAATAGCTGCGACACAGAATGAATCTGTTCTGCATGAGGGAGTTGACAAGTCTAAACTAAATATGTGCAGCCCCTCCTTCATCTCCAGCAGTATCGACCTGTTCAGGTACTCCTAATTGCCTATATGTCTCTGTTTTAAAAAACAAAACAAAAAACAAGGACAGAATTCCTTTTAAAACCTTGCCCATAGAGAACATAAGCACAAGTTTCCCAAGAGCTCTGGCTAATGTAGGAGCGCCCATAAAAACTGTCACAACACATATGCCCTGGATAAACTCTTGCCGTTGAAATTAGGGCTGTGTGAATGTCCCCGGTGAGTTGTTCTTGCCTAAGCCTACCTTCCTCCTCCGCTGGTGACCACACGCACACCGGCCTGCTTTGGAACTAGGTCACTAATTTCTTCTTAAGTGCTTTCACAAAATCTTCCTCCCTGTGGCATAGCGAACTCTTGCTGCTGCTGCAGAACTCATCCTCCATTGTCTCTTGTGCCTAAGAAACCAAGTCTCTGTCACCTGCAGCTCTTAGCTGGCGTCCTTTTTGAAATGGAAACAATGAATGAGCCATGCTTGCATATGAGACCAGTACTCTGCAGTCTTCTGGATTCAAATGGAATCCAAAAGCTCAGAAGCATGGTTCTTCTTTTTCACTATTGTTTTTTTCTTTTTCAGCCTTCATTATTATGAGCCTTTTAGCAAGGAATGTTTCTACAACAATTCCCATGCTGCTTTTTGTATGCGTGCCCAAACTCAAAACTCATCTCAGGAATTGACCAGGGCAAAGAGGGGGCTAAAGTGAAAAAATAAGCTAATCCTGTTTTGGCCAGGAAAGGAAATAGACGTTGTGGATATGGCATTAGCCTCTGTCTGTTGATTTTATTATTTTTCACTAGCCTTTTTCTCCATCATTCTTAAGAATCCCAGATGGCATCCTTCCCAAATCACTGGATTCCTGGAGCTCCCCCCTCGGCATCACTTCATTTAAAAGTGCTGCTTAATAGCAGTGCTTCAAATTTATATCACAACAGCAGTGCAAGTTACCATATGACATTATGCAAATAAAGCCCTCCACAATAAGCATTTGATATAATGCAAACATACACTGTACAAAAATAACAATTACTAAACACAGTACCAAAATGTCCCCAAAATATATGGCAATCTTCCACGGTTGGTAGAACTCATGCAGTTTGTATCAGGCTGCCACTGATGTGCTGTGGCTAACAAACTAGACCCTGAAAACTCCATCGGACAGACTCTGAAAATAGTGGCAATGTGTTGAAATAAGCTGGGTTATGGATGGACCAATTAAGAGCTAAGCAAAGCATCCCAGGAAAAAGCTACCCGTTCTGAGGGTGGGAGGCAAGGGGGACCCCCAAGTCTTGGCCAATGTAGTTGTGCAGAAACACCAGCACAGTGAAGCTTCCCCAATCCCCCTAATGCTGAAAGTCTCACAGCTGGGCATGTTTTTTAAAGAAGAAGAAGAAGAGTTTGGATTTGATATCCTGCTTTATCACTACCCGAAGGAGTCTCAAAGCGGCTAACATTCTCCTTTCCCTTCCTCCCCCACAACAAACACTCTGTGAGGTGAGTGGGGCTGAGAGACTTCAAAGAAGTGCGACTAGCCCAAGGTCACCCAGCAGCTGCATGTGGAGGAGCAGAGACGCGAACCCGGTTCACCAGATTACGAGTCCACCGCTCCTAACCACTACACCACACACACAACAGCTTTTTTTCTGACAGCACTCACTGGTAGGGACTACTAGCACTGTTTTTTCTGCTGCCTGTGGCAGACATTTTGCGCTAGCACCCATGACACTTTTATCAACATATGAGTACCAGCATCCCCCTTTTTACATAGATAGATACTAAAAAAAGACATTCTCATTCTAGCACTGATGTACAAAAAATGCCCTTTGCAATTTTTAACACACGTTCCCCCCTTTTATCAGCAACTGTGGCAGATGAATAAACAAGTGAAGCAGAATCCCTTTTGTGGGGACCAGATAATATGTCAATAGCACTGAGCGGGGACAGCAACATTATAGCACCAGAAGTAGAGTAGCACCAGAGAGAGCTTAGAATTGCACATGTAGTTATATATCAATCCTTCTATCAAAGGGAGAGGGCATTCTCTCCTGCTTCCGCTAAACTGTGGACTCCCCTCCTTGCAGACACGTGTCTGGCACCTTCATTCATTTATTTATTTTGTCTGTCATGGGTGCTTTAGCTGAGATTCCTGCATTGCAGGGGGTTGGACTAGATGACCCTTGGGGTCCCTTCCAATTCTACAATTCTATAATTCTATGATTTAACGTTATTTGGCAAAACGTTAGAATCAAAAATAAAAGCAGGTATTGAAAATATCCAAAAGATGATTAAAATCTGCAGTAGCTAAAAGGAAACAAAACACATGCAACTTCTACATGTCTGGCTAGGCTCACCTAAACAAGCATATTTTAACTTGGTGTTGAAAAGAGTACAGTGAAATTTCCTGCCTGATGCCAAGAGGCAGAGTTCCTTCTGAGATGCACTGAAGGAACATCTCTTCACCCTAGTCTTTGGCACCTGAGATAGATACATGTTAGAATCCACCTTATTCTTAGCATAAATTGTTTTAATATTGTATTTTTATATTAAGTAAGAAATCTTATAATTATAATAAATCTATTGACTAGTCAAACAATCCTATTTTTTGTCAGCTTTTCTACTTGGTTTATTGTCAGGGGCTCAGGAGCAGAGGGACAGGAAAGGGAGGAATTAGAGACCGAGGGGGAGGAATCCGAGGGAGAAGTTAGCGAGGATAGCCGCCCGAGGTCTCTAAGTCTCTCCAGCGAATCGGAGGATACACAGAAAGGGTCTCCCGTGGTCAGAGCTAGGGGGTTGCCAGAGGGAACACCCCAGGAAGGAGGGGCCAGAGGGGACTCAGAGAGCAGCAGTTGGAAATCGGGACCAGCTTCCCCACCGGAGAGCAGTAGGGGGGAGGAGTCCCAGGCATCGGCATCAGGCAGCTTTCCGTCAGCGGAAGGACATGAGTCAGGGTTAGCCACGCCTGCATCAGAGAGTGAGGAGAAGGTCAAAAGGAAGGTCGGAGGCAGCGCGCGCGCGCCAAGTTCAAATGTACAAGAGGGTGGCGCGATGAGCAGCCCGGATAGG